TCACCCAGTCCCACCCCCCTGCTCAAGCAGGCTCACACAGAGCAGGGTGCACAGGACATTGTCCAGGCGGGGGTTGAATATCTCCAGAGGAGACTCCACAGCCCCCCTGGGCAGCCTGGGCCAGGGCTCGGGCACCCTCAAAGTCAAGAAGTTCTTCCTCACATTCAACTGGAACCTTTTCTGCTTCAGTTTGTGCCCATTGCCCCTTGTCCTGGTGCTGGGCACCACTGAGAAAGAGTCTGGCTCCATCCTCGTGACACCCACCCTGAAGATATTTGTATGTGTTAATGAGATCCTCTCTCAGCCTTCTCCAGGCTAAACAAGCCCAGCTCCCTCAGCCTTTCCTCATAGGGGAGATGCTCCAGTCCCCTCATCATCTTTGTTGCCCTCCTCTGGACCCTCTCCAGTAGCTCCTCATCCTTCTTGAACTGGGGAGCCCAGAACTGGATGCAGTGCTCCAGGTCGGGTCTCACCAGGGCAGAGCAGAGGGGGAAGAGAACCTCCCTCTTCCTGCTGGCCACGCTCCTCCGAATGCACCCCAGGATGCCGTTGGCTTTCTTGGCAACAAGGGCACCCAGCTGGCTCTTGGTCAGATTGTCGTCCACCAGGACTCCCAGGTCCCTCTCAGCAGAGCTGCTTCCTTGCTCTCTGATCTGCTTTCATGTGAACCTAAGGACTGACCCATTTCCCAACCTCAGTAATTAACAGTACACCCAATCTTCTCACAGTGCCTTCCGCTGCAAAATGAGATAACGTAAAACGAGAGAACATGAAATGAGATAACGCTGCAGTAAGAGCAGGAGGATGCAGGCAAGAGCAAACAGCAATGCAAAGGAGAGGTCTCCCACCTAGAAGCCTTGCTCTGGGAATGCCAAACACCTTTCAACAGGGACCCGGGTGTGACCAAAGCCCTTCAACACGCAACAGCCCAAGTCTTTGAGCCACCCCCAACAGCTTCCCTGACGTGAACTTCACTCCTGAGGAGCAGAACTGGTGTCCAGCTCTCCCCTGCACCATCCCATTCCTGGGGGCACAGTGTTTCTTACACACCTGAAGCCAATTTTACCAAGTTTTCAGCAAGTGCCCCAAGTCCTTGTGCGCACTGAGTCCTGGGGATGTGACTCAGGCCCTCGGGGCCATCAGCTCAGCCCTGAAAGGTCTCAGGAAGACTCATGATTCCCCCCTTGGCTTTAATCTGGCACTCCCCAAGCCCCATGCTCATCAAGCAGGGATGGGACAAACGTAATTGCAACCATTGACCTTTAGAAAGCTGTAGCCCCAGAAGGCAGGACAGAATATTTTATTTCTCTCCATTTGGAAACTGGCTTAAAGTAACAAAGCAAAAGCTCTCAAGCCACCTCTGCCATCTGAGTCGGGTGGGAACACTGTGAACGCCACAGCCCAGCAACGCCAGTGCAGAGGCCTGGAGTCCGCCTCCAAGGAAGCCCGTGCTGGATCTGCCTGGAAGCCTCTCCAGGAAGGCTCTGTCTACTGAAGAGGCTGCTTCTGCCTCAACGCACACAGAAGCGCCTTCTTGGAAACCGAACCTTGGACTTTTTTCTCCCCAGCTGCCGACCATCTGCCATGGTGAGGCGGCGAGGCTGCTTCTGCCTCAACGCACACAGAAGCGCCTTCTTGGAAACCGAACCTTGGACTTTTTTCTCCCCAGCTGCCGACCATCTGCCATGGTGAGGCGGCACCAGATGCCGAGTCTGCTTTGCTTCCTTGTCCGATACGGCAGCAA